CGTAAAGTCCTCTTTCTCTTTCTATTGTCCACCTTTGTCCTTTGCCTGCCAACGAAGTCAACGATGGTGGCAGCAACACCACTCCTTTAAAACAGCAAATAATTTATGTCTCAGACATGGATGTACTCTGCATAGTATAAAATGAAATTGAAGAAAAAAGGAGCTTTTGTAAGGACAAACTATTCAAATTTTCATTTCACAGAAAAATTAGCTTGAAAGTATTTCGAATTCAGCATGAAACAGCTCATTGCAAATGGTTTTCTATTTTGATATATACTCTTCTTGATGGTTAAACAAGTTCTCAGAAAGTCAGTAAAATAAATAACAAGAGCAAATAGGTGATGTTCAAGCTGAATAATCATTAGATTTGAGTACAGATAATCTCTAATGCTAACAACAGGCAAATCCTGTCACCGTCTTGTGACATGTCAAGGGTGCAACGTGGGTTAGCTAATCAGAAGTTTAATTGTCCTGTGGTTGTACTCTGCGGCACCTCCTTTTTGAGCATTTTAAAATGTAACCATAGTGGTCTCGATTACTGTGACTGTGTAGTTTTCAGTCATTCAGGTCATCATAACTAAGGAGTTTGGAAAGAAAAGTGACTGGACTTCTTGAAGACTCGACTTATTGAGATCATCTTATACAAGATGTGAGTGGGCATTAAAGTGTTTGGGAAGGGATCTCAAAACTGGATTATAGATGGCAGACAGTTGGTGTCATAAACCACCTGCTCTGTTCAAGGGTAGTCGTTCATAGTGGACATAATAGTGGACTTTCAAATCAGCCTGACTTCCCACTTCCTGTATGTAAAGACGGACTACAATAGGTGACACCGGGAAGCCCATGAAAAAACGTTTTTTGTAGAAACCCTCATTCTCAAAGGGCTTTGCATTCCTCCTGAGTGTTATGCTCCATCTAAAGGTAGAACGTGAAGTCTAGTGGGATAACATTGATTCAGCAATTAAAGACATGATAAACACAAAAAACATAACTGGTGTGTACATTTTTTTAACTAACTTTAAGTTTTTTTCTTTTCATCTCTTTTTAATTTAAATTCTCCCTTACTTAAAAAAAATGCCTGCTGACATTTGTCCATGTTCAGGGATGTATGTAGCTAATTACACAGTCAGAAATAGGGGTACGGAAGGAGTACATTACTGTGCCCCAAGGTACAAAAATGACATTAATACAGTCTAAGGACAAATATTGGACCTCGGGGTAACTATCTGTACCTTTTTTAGCGTCTGAAAGGTACATACATGTTCCTTAATTGTGAAAAGTACTTATTTGTACCCATTCTTTCAAAAGATAAAGTACAGGTTGATTAAGCTCTTTTTGATTAGAGGTTGTTTTTTTTTATTCTTTTTGACAGTAATTTATTTGCAACTGTATTGATTTAAGCATATATTTTAGTGTTTTTATTTTATTTTTTATTATTTTCATTGCTGTTGTTGTTTTTGTATTCCCTGAACCCCCCTTATTTTTAAGCTGCTTTAAGAACAACGAATTTATTTGAAAGAAAAAAAAGTAAAAATGCATTTAAACATTTTTTTAAGAGAGCGTTTTTTTTTTAAGTAAGTATTTGGATGAATTGCAAAAAAGCACCCTCGGAGTGCGAGTTGAGCCCATCCTCACAACATCAAACAAAAAGTAGAAGAAGAAACTCAACGAATAGCTGGTGGATTCTAGAACTTTCTTTAAATGCAGCAGGTGCCATTTTGTTTTATCAACGGACGGAGATGGATTACGAACTTGCAAGTCCTGGTGTGCTCTGTTCACTTTCAACCGAGGAACTCTTAACAAAAATACAAGAGTGGGGCTTAGATGTCACCGAAGCTGAAGCTCAGCGTTTCAGAGGTAAGTTTTATTTAAAGAAAAATGTAGCGTAATTACTAATTATTGGTTTAGCCTAGCTTAACGTATATTAGCAATTTAGCTAGTTTCGGCACTCTCTTAGCTCAAATTATGTCTTTTTACAAACGTTTTTACAAACGTTTCATGTGTAAAGTTGAGGTCACAGTTCTGAAAAATGAAAAATGTGTACACATAGTATTTGTATAAGTTTGAACTTATATATGTGGTTCGGCCACAGTCTATGGGTTCGGTAACCCCTGCGCAGCGGAACGGCGCGAAATTTGATTCCCTGGTAGCTGAATGCAGTTTACCGTTAGTGTATTAATGGTTTAATAAAATCACGTTTTTACATCCACTCCAAGGCCATTAACACACATGGGCGGCGTTTAAAGGAAATATCTTGACGCCGCACTTGTTTAAAATATAACAAGGGTGTCGCAGCTGGGGTTTGATAGTCCCGTTTTCAGCAATGTGGGAACTTTTTCAGCATGTAATCTGAGCTTGTAATACGGTCCTGCGGGTGTTATCACTATAAGTAATCGGTCTGAAAGAACAGACGGCAGAAACTGTCGGAAATCTGGAGAAAGGAGTCACCTTAGTAGTGAATATTAACACATTACAGCATTCTAGTCTTTTTTTTTTTCTTCCAAACTTGAAAGGGCACAAAAGCATGCTCAGACTCTGCTCTCCTGTGTCCAGTAGTCGCAAACAAACATCTAAATTTAAAAATGAAAACTTTGCATATCAAGAGGATTCACTCTAAAAAATTTGGTTTATTTTATTTAATTTACTGATTTTTTTAATGAATATTTCTTTGAACTGAAAGAAGTTGTACAAAAGGTTTTAATGTGTGTGATATACGGTTTTTACCCATGTAAAAATGTGGTGTTAAATATTCTTACATGGAATTTAGAGTTTGTACTACCATTTATCTTGCAGACAATGAGGTTGATGGTGACACAGTTGACTGCGGTCTTACTGAGACTATGGTTGCATACCTTTTCCAAGGATCCTTCAAAAAGCAGGTTAAATTCAACCAATTTGTGTCAAGGATGAAGGAATCTTCAGTGACGCTGACTCTACAGACTGTCTCTCCAGAAGACTGGCAACCATCTACTTCGTCAACTTCAATAAGGTATTTTCTTATTTATAATGAAGTTAGTATGTCTGAAACATACATGTTGGCCATTATGCACTTTTAGGATTTAGTTAATATGATCATTTTTCCTACCATATGTATTGTTACTGTAGTGTTTTATACTTCAATTCATGCAATAAAAACAAACATTTAACTGTTTTCACAGCAATGAAAATACTTTGAGACTGCCAGCCTCTTTTGAAATTCCAAGATTTCCCAAAAATCTGCAACTAAAACTGGACAACAAAGAACCGTGCCATAAAAATCCAAGGGACAGACACACAATAATCAGAGTTCTATATGAAGCTGTGGCACAGTATACTATGTAAGTTAATCAGGGTAATGTTAGCTTGTTGCTTTAGAAAAAGCTGAATCTGTCATATTGAAAATAAACGCTACATTACTAAGAAACAATAACTGACACTTGATAAAGTTTGTTTGTCAGCAGTTGCTCTAACACTTATGTTTCTTCTGATATTACAGGTATCCCACAAATTCTGAATATGTGCAAGCTGTGAAGACGCTGGTAATGAAGTATCCTTTCCTCAAGGATCGTGAGGGAAATGGTTATGTAAGTTAAATTTTAAATTTGCATAAGGTTCCTTCAAGATTACAAAGTAAAAGTGAAGCTTTTTTCAATCTTGTTTTGTTAGTAAGACAATCTGTAGCCTCTCAGTAGGTTTGTATGAAGTATGTTTACTGATTCTTTGTTGGGTGTATTTTGTGTAGATTGTTTTTACAGTAACTTATGTTTCTGTTCAACAAGCACACATGGCATATGTCTTTGAGACGTAAATTCAAATCAGAGCGGGCACCACTAGTCGACAGTGAGGCAGTGAGGCGTTGTAAGGAGAAGTTTGGTTCTACGAGGAGAGGGCAGCCTAATAAATGTCAACGAACAAGTCAGAGAAATGTTTGTCAGGTTGGTGTGAGGGACACCTTGAGCTATAAAATGTTCTTGCCTCTGTTATTACATCTAAAACTAAGGATTAGGGATGCAACTGTACCTTTTTTCAAACCGAAACAATACCAATACTTGGATTAGAGCACTTGCTAATACAAAGTACCAGTGCTAATACTTCTACCTCACAAAAAATTATTAATTGTAAGGCGCTAAAAGAGGGTGAACTAGATTTAAAAAAAAACAAAACATTTTAAATATGACTCCAAAACTAAAATTTCAAGTTAACAATTAAGATTTTATGTGAAATTAGTTCAGAGTTTCCATATTTTAAATATTGGTTCATGGTATCGGTTAACTTTAAACAATACGAGTTCTTTGTGATGCACAGATCGTGTCAGCTCTAATTGTATATTTAGTCTTATGTTGGGTTTCTAATCTGTTTTGACTTTCTCTTCTCACTCTTGCTTTCTTTCAAGGGACCATGCGTCCAAGGAGAGGATTTATTATCCATCGACGCCCACTTAAAGGTCTTACAGTGCCAATATCAGAAGATGCAACCAGATACCATGGTGGTTCATAACCGTATGCAGCAAACGTTTGCTTGGCGGCAAAAAGAAATTGCAGATGGTATGCCTGTGGAGGATGTGTTGAAGAAGTACCCCTTCTTAGGGATGCCTACTGGTGTAAGTCAGAAAGCTGAACTGAACTTGGAAATAGCTGTCACATTTAACATGTTTATAGTAGTAAATTTTATTTGCCCTTGACCTTGCTTTCTTCATCTGTCCCTCTTTCCTTTTTTGTATGTTCATGTAACTTCTTACAGTATTGTTGTTAAATTCTATAAAAAAAATAATTATGCAGCACCATACATAATTAATATCAACTTTAGATTATTTCATTTTCATACACTGTTATTTTGTACTGAAAATTAATTTTTTACTTGTAGCTGTGCAACGAACTCGGGTGGATCCAACCAACAACGGGTAATGTAAGCCAGCGATTTCGTGAAGGGCTCTCATGTGTTGCAGCAAAGGTGATTGACGTTACACGAGGGAAAACCCCACTCTACCAGCTCTACCTTGATGCAAGAGAGGAGGCTCTCATTGATGACCTACCAGGTATTTGCTTTCAAGGCTTCCATTTTATATAATTTTTATAGGTAACTGGAAATGCCAGATAAAATGCATGGGTGATCTTGTGTTGTTTTTGGGTTTTTTTGGCAGATCTTGACACAAGGGCTGCACTTTTATTCCTGCCATACGTCTTCAAGGAGAAACTGGATCTCTTTGTCATACTTGGAGAGGTGTGTGTATTAAAATATTTAGTCTATATAAAAGGAAAACAAATGTATCTTTTGTTAAGAGACTAAGATATTGCTTTCCTCTACCTTCTCTTTTGACTTCAAAGGTTCATCCGAAAACCCCCTATCCAACTGTTCAGCTACTTCATGAAGACTGGAAACCAGTGTTCTCCAGAAGCGCTCCAAACATTGTGAAGTTGGATGGCAGTGAAGTGTGCAGAAGCTCGTGTATTTTTGAAGGAATCATCTCTTATTTCTGCTTGTATTTTGTCTTCAACCTTGCTTATCCAAAACATCTGAAGAACACCCTGATTTTTCTCCAAAAGTACATTGTGAAAATAGATGAGGGTGAGGACCGGCCTCTGCCAATCACAGTCACCAGACAAATAAATCTTCTGTATTGACCACCATGCCTCAGCCATATCAGTGCTCCAAATGTGGCAGAAGAACCTTTAGTTTGACAAAGCTTATTCAGCACATAGGACTTATTCATTCCCATGATGCCAATTTTGATATAACCTGTGGACTCAGTGACTGCTGTTCTTCCTTCAAAAAATATGAATCTTTCAGACGACATGTGTATAGGAAACACAGAGAGCAAGTGTTGTGTCCCCATAAAGACTTAGATGAAAATGAGCAGGAGGTAGTCAGTCCACACCCAAATGAATTTGCAAATGACATGACTGAAAATATTGAAACCCCTCCATCCTGGGATGAATTTTTGATAAATTTCAGAGACAATCTTTTCAAGTTCATTCTTAAGTGCAGAGAGAAAAATTCTTTACCGGTCTCTGTTCAGGAAGAAATTGTGGAAGACGTAAATTTTCTGATGTGTTTTTTCAAGGAGAACTACGATGCTTTTATAGCATATCATTTAGAGAAAATGGGTCTTGACGTGTCTTTGTGTCCAGAGGTTAAAAATGTCCTGCATTCAAATGAATTTTTTGAGAAGGCTTCAACAGCTATTCGATCTCCTTATTTAGTCAAAGAACATTGCAAATCAAAGATCAACATGACAGAGCCTGTTCATTGCAAATTAAGAGACTCTGGGTCATACAGTTAGCTCGTATTCATATGTGCCTGTTGATAAGGTGCTAAAAAATTATCTTTCTCATGAAGACATAAAAGATCACATTTTTTTAAGTGGCAATTCGGAAACTGATGAATTTCTAACAGATTACTCTGATGGAGAAATCTTCAGACATCATCAATTCTTCAAGGATAACCCAAATGCACTGCGACTCCATTTTTATGAGGATGAATTTGAAGTACTTAATCCTCTAGGATCTAAATGATCCAAACACAAACTTAGTGCATTTTATTACACTGTAGGCAATTTGGACAAAAGGTACACTTCTCAGCAGAGGCACATTCATCTAGCGTTATTGGTACGCTATTCTTTTGTTAAGCGGTGTGGTTGGCATGTTATCCTTAAACCTTTGCTTGATGATGGCTTTACTTTTACCATTGATAAAACTGAACACACTATTCATGCTGCTCTTGCAACTTTATCTTGTGATAATTTATCAGCTCACATGATTGGTGGTTTTTCTATGTCATTTAACACTGGTAGAATTTGTCGGTATTGCATGGCTTCTTATGAAGATATGAAACAATCCTTTGAGGAAGAAAGCTTTGTTTTAAGAACATCAGAGGTTCACCAGTATCATCTTGCACGAATCCAAGAATTTCCGGATGATAAAACAATATATGGTGTAAATAGTTCATGTCCTTTTGACAGACTGAGTTATTTCAGTGTTACACAAGCTTTACCACCTGATGTAATGCATGATCTGTTGGAAGGTGTAGTTCCTCTAGTTATGAAACTAGTGATTTGTAAAGCCCACACTGAGAAGCATATTACAATTAGAGAGATCAATGAAGAATTGCAAAAAATGCCCATTGGTCAGAATGACAAAACAAACAAACCAGTACAGTTATCAGAGAGACTTCAGAGTGTTGGTATTGTTGGATCAGCATCTCAAAAGTGGTGCCTGTTCAGATTGCTGCCATTTCTGATGGCAGACCGTGTGCCACCTAATTGTAAATATTGGCATGTTTTTCTTCTATGTCGTGAAATAACAGAGATTGTAATGGCTAAAAAAGTGCGAAAAGAGAATATTTTATTGTTGAAGTTGCTTGTCCATGAGTTTCTCACAAAACTGAAAAGTGTATTTGGGGATGTAATTACACCAAAGTGTCATTATTTAATCCACTATGCAAGACTGATTGAAATGTTCGGCCCTCTACGTTTGTTATGGTGTATGAGATTTGAAAGTAAGCACCAGTATTTCAAAACGTTGTCCCGCAATTGTAGAAATTTTATGAACATTGCTACAACTTTGAGCAACAGACATCAGTTCAGACAGTGCTGGGAGTTTTCTAACAAAAGTTTACTTGGTGAATTTGAAAATGTTTTTGGAAAAAGTGTGACTACACCATTTTTGTCATTACCACTGGAACTGCAACAAGCACTGACAGTCTATTGTGGCTTTTCTGAAGTTGATAGTGCTAAGAAAGCTTTCCAGCGTGTGTCAGAAGTAATTGTGAACAGTGTCAAATACTGTGTAAGAGATGTGTTTGTCATTGATGTACTGCATTCAGAGAAGATTCCTCTGTTCTGGCAAATTAAGTACATATTTAATATTGACACAATGTGGGTCTTTTGTGGAAAAATTCTCATTCCTCTGTTATATGACAACCATTTTCATTCATACAGTGTTAGAGTTGATAGTGAATGGACGTTGCTAAAACCTGGACAGGAAATTGATGTTGCAGCTTATGACACATACTCTGTTGATAACAGTTTGTATGTAACAGTTAAGCAATGTATTTAAGAAGGTAATAAATGTGACAAGTATTTTTGACTTTGTATCTTCAATTTTTCAAATCTTGAGAAGAAAAATGTAGGAAATCTGTGTTTAGATACTGAACCTTTAGAAAGACATTTTTGTACTCCTTTTAAGGGTTCTTTTTTGTACTTTATACTAAGGGTACAACTTTGCCCTTTAAAGTACAGGTTTGACGTGTAAAAGGTACAAATTACAAGGGTACAAATCAGTACCCACAGTTTAGGGTACAGAACGGTACCTTAGAGGGTACCACCCCAGTGACAAGCCATTGTACCCCTATAGGTACATTTCTGTACTTTAATTTCTGAGTGTGTACTGTGGCTGAGCAGTTGTAAAGATATAGATGTGGACGTGTGAAGTAATTGTCATTTTCTGTTAGGTAGTCACACAGTCATGATGTTGGAAAGTTATAGCTAATCCGTCTTTACTGAACTACTTTAGTTTTTGCTCTGATGTCATGAAGACTTCAACCTAGTCTAAAACCCTAACTCTATGTTTTTTTTTTTATGTAAACACTTTTAAATAATCATTTAGAATGACAGCTCCCCATGCAAGCTGATTCTGGGGAACAACTGAAAATAGATTTTGCATTTTCTTAGAGGTCAGGATTAGGGGCATCACCAATGATGTCTTAGACACCTCAGGATTAAACAATAAAGTTTCTTTGTTCATGGCAGGGCTGGTGTTAGATCCTCTCCCATATTCAAACATAAATGGATTACATTTCTTTACTGGCAAAGCCTTGAATAAACATGAACTTTATAAACTGTACTTTGCTTGTGTTGGAGAAAAATCAGGTGATCTTCCAGCAGTTCATTGAAACAGGATGAGGGCGTTGATGTGCCAGTAAAATCGCTGGGTCATTTTTCAAGTTAAATTCATATTACCTTTTCTGTTTTGTGTGTTATGAGTGCATATGAGCTCTTTTCTCGTTTTCACCCCTGTGAACAGGCATATTCAGAATTGTATTGTATCGTTTAAATATTTTAGTCTGATACTGTCTTGGAGAAACTGTAATGCACAAAATTTCCTTAGGGATTAATAAAGTATTCAGATTCTTAAGACAAGCTGTCTTTAGGTCCCCACACAGAAAGGCTGTATCTGCAGATTGAGACCAAGAAGGAAGATCTGAAGGTCATTTTGCAAAGGTTTACTTTCTTTTCAATGAAATGAATGCTCTCAGTATTGGTTTGTAAACTCACTCAAATGTTACCCAGCTTTAGGTCATTATCAAGGTTAAATGTTAAGGTTCCATGATGAAGATGCTTACTGTCCCTCTGCATGTGTGCACCATGATGGCTTTTGCCCAAATTTCATGTGTGTGTGTGTTTTTTTGTTTTGTTTGTTTGTTTTTTAGATTTTACATACAAAATATGTGATTGGGGAATAGTACATCTTAAATGTTTCAATCAGTTTCGTGTTATTTTTAAGTGTTAAGTGTGCGAGACCATTTTATCTTTTAAAAATCAGGTATAAAATGAATGTTAAAAAATCAAAATTAACAAGGTGTGCAAATCAGCAGTGTTTTTAGATTCACAGTGAACAGTCAAAAACAGTTATGAGGTGTGTCATTGAGGTACATTATTTTGTTATTAAATGCATGTACACTGATGTGATATGAGACAGACCACATCAGGTTACAAGTAACGCGTTACTGCCCATCTCTGGTGGGAACACATGGGGAAACAGCTGACTGACATGAACATAATGGCAGGACAGTGAAACTAAATACAATGAACAAAGGCTGTATCGCAATTCAGGTTCTGCAGCCTTAAAGTACGCAGCCTTAACGGTCCTCAAGGGCCGCGTACTCAAAGACCGCTAAGGCCAGAAGTGCGATGCTTGTTGGCTTGTGAAATAGGACGGTCTAGCCTCCGTCCGCTGCCCATGATACTAACAGCTGGAAACGTGTCATACAGCTTTGTTTGACAGAAATGAAGGAGAACATATTTTGTACATTTGTTTCTCCATGAGCTTTGTGTGATATAATAAGTATCTGAGGCTGAGACCACAGGACTGTAAAACATGATTGTTGGGCTTCATTTCTGTGCTGAACAGTCATTTAAGATTAGCTAGTAAATAACAATTAGCTAATGTTGTTCATGAGTTTAAAGTCATCTCACTTTGGTAATGTAAATATAATATGGCCAATATTAAAGTTATTATATTAATCATTATTAGTCATTACAGCAGTGAACTTGAACTCTGTGTCAAATACTGAGCTTCAGTACAGATTCAAGTTACAGTTATTTATATTTCCTATCACCTTAAATCTTCACTCAA